AATGTTAATCAATAAATTATAAAAGATACATAATTACTAAAAATAAATTTATAACAAAAATACAATAAATATGATAAATTAAATTCCAAAAGTTAAATAATAGTTATTTAATCTYCAATAATTATTGACAATTTACTGTTAAATAAAAAAACAAAAATAAATTTATAAAAATTTATTGAGAACATATTTACAAAAAAATATAATAAATAATTAGTGAAAATAAAATAAATATTAATTATATTATATAAAAAATATAATGAATATACACTATTATTGTAAAATTATTACTAATAAATATTATTTTTTTGAAAAGTTATTTTCTATATTTRTTAATTGATATAAGTGAAATTATTTATTTAAATAATATTTTTWTTTAAAATTTTAAAATATTAATTATTTATTGAATTTAATAATCTGCAAAATTATAATTAGTATCATTATTACGTAATTCGTCATTAACTCTATAAAATTAATATTTTATTATTAATATGAATATTATGAAGTCTTATTATCTTCTAATTTTAAGAATTTTTTAAATTTATTACATAATTTCGTTATTTTAGTTATTTAAAATTTAGTCATGTTAAATATTTCGTTATTTAAATATTCAAATAATATGTAAAATATATAAAAATTTTCATTATTTGAATTTTATTTATTTTAATGTTATGATGTAATATTAAATATTTTGTTAGATAATTATTTAGCTATTTTTTATTTTTTGTTATTTAAGACAATTAGTTATTGTAATATTTAAATATTGTTTTATTTTTTAATTTTAAATTTGTATTACTTGAATAACATTTAAATTTAATAATTTGTAAAATTATAATTTATATTGTTACTACATAATTTCATGATGAATTTTCTAAAAATATAAAACTATTAATAATATGAATATTATTAAATCTATTATAATTATTTTTTTTTGTGTTTTGAATAAATATTTTAAAGTTAGTATATAATTTCSTTATAATATTTAAACAATTCTGAAAATTTTTAATTGAAACTTTCTTTAGATAGATATAGATAAAAAGTGGGGGAAAGGATAAATAGGAATTAAAGATAGTTTAGGAGGGAATCTCTATACTAAATTATAGATGATTTTAGAGATAAATAGGAGTTAGAGATAATTTAGGAGATAAATAGGAATTAGAGACAATTTAGGAGAAAGTGGTGCCACTTGGCTAAACATTAGAAAAGCAAATCTCTCATTATTTATGATTGTTAAAAATAGTTAAGCCTATGTTATTTTCTTATTGGTTTAATGGGTAATTATAYRGAATTAAAAAATAAAAAAAAAACAAAAAATTAGGAAGGGAGGTTTGGAGCAAGGAGAGGACCCCTAATGTTTAAATTCATTAAACAGCTCTAATCTCAATATTTATCRTTTTGATAACCTGAAAAAAACGATACATATTGTTTGATCTAACAATACAAATTGAGAATTATGTACCTATAAGAAAAGAAAATAGAAAATTGAGTAATTGACTGAGAAAGGAAGAAGGAATAGAAAAGAAATATCTAGGAAGATTGTCATTTGTCAAAGGAATTTACGTTGGCCTCCTTTCCCTTTTGTCACTATTTGGAAGGGTAAGAAATCAAACTACCTCCCTGCTTTTCTTGGTCGTTTCATGTTCACTCCAAGAGCAAAAGGACACAATCAGTGCGCTGCTCTTGGAGGAATACAGTACCCCACGACAACTACCTTCTTCTTTGATCCAATCATTCAAACACTTACTGATCATACCCAACTCCTATTTTAGTCTACCTTCGTTCACCCTTCTCCCTCCTCAGCGTCAGCATGGAGAAGGCCTCGACTGAGATTGATCTAGATGAGTGGGAATTCCTCTCTGATGATGGATTCCTTGACCTCCATCACCATGAGGAGGAGGATCGGAAGAGACTCTCCTTGAAGGAGACGATGAGTGGATTTTATCCGAAAGATCCATTCTCCATGAACTATTTCATCTGCCCATCGCCCACGACTTGTCGACCTGTCTTCGAGACGCCCAGCAGCTCAAGTGATCTGACAAGTGGGGATCAGCTTCTTCCGGTTCCAGTTGTGGGGATCGGTATCATTCCAGCAGCGATATCGGAGAAGATCAAAGCTCCGAAGCTGGGAGCGATGGCAGCAGATCAAGACACTGCCTCGCAAGTCTTCTTCAAGAAACTGAAGGAGAACGAATTCGTCGACATGAATTTCATGGACTCGCCAAAGTCCACAAGTGTTGGAATTGAGCCTCAAACAGAGGAGAAAGAAGAGGCAATTAAGCAAGAGACGGTGAAGAAGGAAGACTACATGGATTCAGTGATCAAAGAAGAGATCAATTGGGAATGTGATGCTGGTGGCCTTGGCATTWGGAAATGGAGAATTAATGGAATTGGTTCTCTTTGCTCCATAGGTGCGGTTGCTGCCACTATCTGCATGTTCATCTTCGGAAGCCATCAAAGACACAAACACCATCACCAACAGCTTCAGTTTCAGATCTACGCCGATGACAACAAGGTTTGGTTAATTGGTTATCTGAAACTGGATTGCTTAATGGACCAATATCTTGTGAAATCTAAAAAGCTAATCAATCCAAATTTTGGATGCAGAGTATCAAACAGGTGGTTAACGGTGCGACTAGATTGAATCAAACACTTTCTGCGGTGAGCGGCGTTCCACTGGCTAGAGCTCAGATATCCTTTGGCGGTTACTATGATGGMCTTTAAGTTGGAGGAGCCGAACTTGGCTGGCAGTTGGCACCATCGATCCATAGCTATGTTACAGTATTAGTATTTGCTTGCTATGTTAAATTGTTAATTGAAGATGATTCATATAAAATCTTCACACATCTGTACATGGAAAGAGGTTGGTTTAGTTCACATCTGCTCCCCACTATTTGGTTTACTTTAATTGAGTAATTTTACATATAAAACCTTGCTATGTTAAATTGGTTTACTTGATGTATGGGGCGCAGATCTGAATTCATAAATTCTGGCTATTATAACTTATGGACATATATGTTCCCAATGTGCTCCCGTGCTTTTACAGTGTGTGCAGAAAGAGTTTTTGCTTGAATGGAATTTGGTTCTGATTAAACATATTGAAGATGACGGTGTAACTGGTGTTTGGAACCAATGTTTTTTTTCTATTTGATATCATTGTTGTTGCTGCCACAGTCATGTCAGCATGTTGATCCTAATAATAATAAAACACTAAAAGGGGCATTTTCTCAAACTATACCACCTTTCTGATTTCCAAGACATGATTTGAGTAAATGTCTTCCAGAAAAAATGCAAACCAAACATCAAGGCACTGATGTGGGGCTATTTTTTGACGAAATTGCATCAGTTCCAAACACCAGCTTAATCTAATGAACGTCAACTTCTCAAGGCATTTGATTGTTTCTTCGTTGAATTTGAGGTCATTGTCGTTTTGGGGTGATCTATACGGAGAGATGTGTATTATCACCTTTGAGAGTCACTTTAGCGTATCATAATTATCATTTGTGTTTCTACCTTCGACATCAATTTGAGGTTTCTATAAACAACCTCCAGTACATGCATGTTTGAAGTATGCATGCCAATCATATAAAGGTCTGGACACAATCTGGTCTTGTCTTGTTTTCGCCCTTTCAAGGAAACCCTGCTAACCTCTTAGACTCCTAGTTTGGTTTGGGTAAAACATTGTCAAATGGAATTGAATTCGATCCATTATAAACACAAGAGAATAACATTTTTTTTTTTGTTTTTTCTTTCCTTTTTTGATAAATGAACATTAGGGCTATGCTTAGTTCTACGGGCATTTATTAGAAAAATGCCACCACATCAGCACCACATAGTCATTGGCATTAGACCTGTTCATGGGCCGGGCCGGGCCGGACCGGGCTTTGACTCTTTATTAACAGAAAACTGTTAGACCCGAGCCCGAGCCCGAGCCCGAGCCCGGCCCGACCAACGGGCCTACAACTTGGGCCCGAAGCCCGACCTAATAAAAGAAATTCAAAATTTTCCGACATTTTCTATTTTAATTTAAATGTTTTTTTCCCCTATTTAAATGAACAATGGGCCTACAAGTGAATCAATGACCTCAAATCAAAAAATTTATTCAAATAGACATCACATAGGGTTTTTACTTAGGCTTAACTATAGGTCGGGCCGGGTTTACTTAAGTTTAACTATAGGTCGGGCCAGGCCGGGCTCAGGCCGGGCTATTTTGGCAAAGCCCGAGCCCGGCTCGAATTTTATGCGGGTCGGGCTTTTTGGCCCGAGGTTAAGCCCGCGGGCCAAAAATCCTGTTCAAGCCCGTTCGGGGGTTGGGCCGGGCCGGGCCRGCCCGTCGGGCCACCCGGCCCATGAACAGGTCTAATTGGCATTTATTGTTCATGAAACTACTATTTGGTTTCAGCGTTTATCAAATAAATACTAAAATCCTGAAACACTTGGATTTATGTGCTTGAGGCATTGGGGGAAATTTCAAATCCTGCTTTCTCCCAACACCCTAATGTTTACTGAAATGAAATGCCGACCTGAAGTGTTGAAAGCTGAGGTGGAAGATATCTTCATGGGGGTGTTACTTGAAACACCCATGCATGAAATGCCCAACCAAACAACAAAAGCAATAAATGATTTTTCTTTTTTTTTTTTGTCGGCAAAAAACAAATCAAAGAAAACACCATTGAAGGATATTTCTAAAAATATTTACATCAATGTTTTTCAGTTAAACATTTATCTGAGAAACACCCCATCTATAAACATCTATAAAACCAAACACATACTCATGCAATCGATCTGAAACTAGGAATGAACATTGGTCAGGCCTTGTGGCCTGCCCAGGCCTGATAATACACATCTGGGCCTGATCTCATCCAGTCATTTGGGCTGGTCCATATGAATTAATAGTATTTATCAATACAGTAAAATTGATTATTGCAATTTTGTTAACTATATTCCTAATTGGTTAACATGTAAAATTCGTATTTTTAACTATTACCTATTATTTGTGGAATATCACTCACTTTCATTATAAGAACCGTTGTATCATGCATGAAAAAATGAAATGAAAGTAAAAGAAGATAACAAGCAAAGGTATATATATCTATAGGTTGGGTGCGTGCGAGGAGAGGAGCCCATAATGTGGCAGGTTTCTCTTTTTTTTTTTGTTTTCGTTCTTTGTTAACTTGTATAAATAATTATATAAAATCAAATATTTGAACTATAATATCTAGTATTTTAGACATACAAAAGAGATGATGCTGCCCAGGATCGAACTGGGGACCTTTAGTGTGTAAGACTAACGTGATAACCACTACACCACAGCATCTCTGATGAATGCTTTAAACGTTCAATAAAATATATTATAAATGACATATGACCCATTTAAACAGATGCTACAATTTACCACAAACACTTGTTACCCTGAAAGTATTCAAAAACAAATGAAACGACACCACTGATTACCGATCGATCGACGGAAACTGTTAACCAGAGAACAATCCAATTTCAGTTGGATCGGTAAATATTATTCATCCATGCACATGCTGGCAAAGTACTAAGATTGAACACAACACGTACAGGCTGGCTTTAGAACGTCAAACCAGAACCCCCAAACTTTTGATCTATGATCCCCGATTAAACGGCTCCACCATCTCAGGCGTAAGACAGTTTACCCAATCTCAGCTCCAACCACGCCCCGCCTGAAGAACATCCTTTTTTCCACTCCCTACTCCAGTCTCCCGTTCCTGTTCACATCTAAATTGCTCAAATGATCAAAACCTGCAGAACCGTAATATCTCTTTCACTGCCCCTTCCTTGTGTTCTTCCTCTGGAGATGTCCTGAGCTTTGAAATGTCCTTGACATCTGAGCATTAATGCCGGTAGCTAGTGCCCTAGCTGAGTGCCAAAAGCCTTGGTACTGATCATACAAATGATTTAAGATCCATCCTTTTTCTCTTGGTAGGGAGGAGACTACGTGCTTAAACTCTCCCTTGATCAGTTCCTCTTCTTCCTCCAAATATATATTTAGGACAAGGGCGAGTTTGCGTGGTCGACATAGAGCTTTGCCCACAAGGGTGGAGTTAGGATTTTTTATTAAGGGGAGCCAAAATCTAGAAAACATGGATAGGAGGGCCAAAAGCTAGAAAACATGAATAAAGGGATTAAAATACAAGTGGAACTTAAATAGATTTAAAAGAAACTTTGAAGGCATAAGGGGGRCAATGCTCCCCTCCGCCACCCCCTTTTACGGTCTGAGACAGGCTTAGCCTTGTTTACGTTTGGCAGGCTTACGTTAGGGACATCACCGTCATTTTCGTCCGTAAGATTTTTGGGAGAATTGATGTTATCTTCAGGCATACCACCAAAAGCTTAACGTACTATTTGAGGAGGGGTGATCGACCTCCTTGGGTGCCTAACCTTAGTACTCCTAGACCTTCATCCCTTGCGGGGCGGTCCTGGTTAGTGGCTAGCATGGCTACCAGGGTTCCTCATGGGCTCACACATGCTCATGGGGACAGTGTTGGATCGGCACTGTGTTGCCGACACTCAAGGGAGGCTTGGCATGCGGGCCTGGCTCAAGCATGGCCCAAGCTGAGTGAGCTACCCCTTTGCCTCTAATGCACGGGTGTGTTCCGGCCCAAGCGGTTGCTTATCAACATGGCACACAGGTGCCAGTCATCATCGGCATACAGGAGACCCTTCACATCCGTGCCAAGTCACCTCTTCGGCGCACAGTCGCCTTGCATTATGGTCATCCCCCTTTAGCATGTAAGCGGTGCCTCCCATGGACCGGTCTGAGCTAGCCGAGTGCCCCGACCATTGGACTTGAGGTCATAATCCAGTGCTAATGACTTTGGTGGAGCCATCCCATCGGGCAACTCCTAGCCTCTAAGCGCATTAAGGCTTGTCCTGGCCTACCTTGGCCTGGACGCCGCACGGGTTTCTTCCGCTGTAGAATACCCCCGTGACAGTTGGTATCAGAGTGAGCTAGCTAATTGCTGCCGTAGTTGGTTTTCAACAGATTAGCCTAGAGCCAGTTGAAGCGGTCATCACGACAAGCAGTAGCATTGTGGGGTGCGGTCCCTAGGCACTTCCACCCAGGATCGAGCAGATTTCAAATCAGGCCTGGCAAGAGGCCATTCATTATTCGTGTCCCCATTCCAATGACCCTAAAATAGTTTCCCTTGCGGGGGCAGACGCATTGGTTGTTGTCCTCATGCGGGGGCAGACACGTGAGCCTTGTTAGGAATGTGGGTACACTAGCCGTTGGAGCATGGCGGCCCTACACCGGCAAAGTATCAGGTGGACATGCTTAGTTTTCAGGTAGAACACTTGCAGCAACAGAAGCTCGTCACAAGGCGAGTGCATGTTCGGCAACATCATAGGTAAAAGTTGTCACCACTCGCACAGATTGCGGTCAGGTCTCCTTGAGGCAGTAGTAGTGGGGCCCCCTCGGAGTGAAGATGTAGCCCGAGTCGCCGAGGCGAAGCGTAGTTTCGAGGGCCAAGAGAGCATAAGCCATGGCTAGGTTTGACTAACCCGAATCGGCGAGGTAAAGTCTACAAGCCAGAATGGTGAAAGGGTACACAGGTCATCGCCAACATGAGGAGTAGACCTATCAGCGTATTCAGTAGCATCACTGAAAAGCTACCAAGAAGACGGTTGAGCCTTGAGGTAAGATGATACATGGGGCGGACCTCTGCGAAGCACCACACACATTTCTTTGAGGGCCCTTCTTTCACAGTTCAATGGCATAGCCATTGCGCGGTTTGAGTAATCTCAACACTGGGGGTGAAGTCCAGGCAGGCCGACATGGTGAAATGGTTCCGTCCCCATAAATGGACACCAATATAGGTGAGACTCGGGTTGGCCAGGCGAGCCCTGAAACTGGTAGAAGAGTGGATGGCACAGGACATAGACGCCCATTCACGAAAGGACTCATTGTCGAGGACGACAATGAATTGAGTGGGGGAGCCTGTTACGGTCTGACACAGGCTTAGCCTTGCCTACGCTTGGCAGGCTTACGTTAGGGACATCACCGTCATTTTTGCCTATAAGATTTTTGGGAGAATTGATGTTATCTTCAGGTAGACCACCAAAAGCTTAACGTAC